AATCCATTAACCTAGATTATTTTTCCATTATTCGATTAATAATCGGATAGCCATAGGTTCCTTGAAGAAGATTTTTTACAAAATTAAACAAGGTGAAACTCAAACTTTTCCACTTGAGGAGTTCTGGATAGAGCACATTAACAGACAAAAACGTTTTTTAATCTTATATATATATATATATATATATATATATATATATATATATATATATATATATATATATTTATATTTTACAATTTTGATGTACTTACTGCTCTAAGTGGTTTAGTCTGTCGGCTAAAGGCATGTTTTAAATTCTCTATACTTTAGTTAATGATTAATCGATTACTTAATTAGTTGACGATTATTTCAATAATCGATTAATCCAATTAATTGTTTTAGCCCTAGTTTTCTTCAGTAAATAGAGAAAAAAAATGCAGGCAATATAAAGATATATAGTGCTGACCCAAGCTGTGTATGATATGTGCTGGCAGGTGTCTTTTATTTTGAAATTTTAAACTAAAACAAGTCAAACAAAAAGACTAAACCCAAGAGTACCACACAAGGTAAGAAGGTCATTATTTTTTTGTTTGTGAGGCAACAAATGTGTAGCAAACATTTTAACTCTAAATGGGCCTTTGGAGCACATTTGTGTGGGAATCCTACAGGCTCAACCAGTCCAACTGAAAACATGTATGGGCACAGATTAAATAGCAGGCTTAGTTATGAAGAAATGCATCCCAAACTCACCTTCCCTGTAAGTGCTGAAGGAAATTCTGACTCAAACTTGTTACTGAGTCCAAACCTGTGAAACAAGAAAATATTTAGCTCAATGTAATCAAAGGTTGCAGCAAGGCAGTCTTCATGTGGGAATCACTGCTCCTTCATTATGCATCAGGAAAGACATCCTACATGTTTATTTCATACAAGCACTAATCAATCAACCAGCAGTCAAATTATTTTGAAATCAGTCTAACCAATCAGCTGATATGTGCTGCTGATATGTTTGAGCTGAAACTAGCATATGTTGCTTTCTTCTTCCTCTGATTACATGATTAAAAATGACACGATAATAAATGTTACACAAGTCTCTAGTTAAACAAGAAGCAAAATCTATTAAGAAATCAAACAAAACCTCAATATATAGCAAATGGAGAGGAGTGGAAATGATTCTAACCACATGATCTCAAGCATGGCGGCTGAACGAACTTTAAATTCAGCCAAAGCATCCATGGACCAATGAAAGGAAAAAATTATGCAAATACCAGACGAAAATATCTCAAACAGACCCAAACAAATAGCTAAAACAGACCCATATTGCTGGCTACGAGTTCTCCCCTGCGATCGTAGGTCAAGTTGTACCAACCCAGAGACTCTCGCTGCCACCAATTTTCCAACTTCTCCACAGATAGCTTGTTCTATGCTTAAAGTTAATTTCTGTGAGATTAAATAATACAATTGTTCTCCACTGTAATCGTGCCATCCTAACTGTAACCAGCTCAGGCAGACAAACAATAGTTTTGCCTTGACTGTAGTGAAATGTAAAAAACAAAAAGGGCAGAATGAACATACACATAAGTATCTATTAAAAAAGGAAATATTTTCAACATGATGAGGCATGTTTGAGAATGCCAAACATGGTTTGACATGGCAACCAGATGAAGCAGCTGTCATGGTTTGACAGCTGCTTCATCTGGTTGATTTTTTTTGAGCTTTTAACCAAGATTGGACAAGAAAGGTGTTCAATTCAGGAGAGACATGATCTCAATTCAATTCAGTTTATTTATATAGGGCCAATTCCCAACACGTCATCTTGAGGCACTTTACAGTTCACCAGATCATACAGTCAAATTGATTAAAAGTTTTCTATGTAAGGAAAACCAGTTGATTGCATCGACTCATTCACGCGAATGCAATCCCTCACACTAAGCAACAGTGGAGAGGAACAACTTCCTTTTAACAGGAAGAAATCTCCAGCAGAATCAGGCTCAGTGTGAGCGGCCATCTGCCGAGGCCGACTGGGGTTCAAGGAGACAGAAGCAGAGATACAAAAAGCTGCGAGCTAGCTCCCATGTCAGAGGATGAAGAGAGCACATCCAGCCTGTCACAGTCAGAGAAACAGGACTACACTGAAAAACAGGCCGATCTCCAGCATTTATAAACAAAGGTGTCGATGGCAACAGCACAGCTTTTATTTCTCTCCAGGGTGGAATCACAGCCAAACAGGAACAGACGAGGTACAGCTACAATGGAAATGCTGGGAATTATGGGCCTTCATTTCCTACGGGTTGTTAAATTAAATCTAACCACGCTAACTGTCCTACTTTAATGTAAATATAGCAAAGAATGTGAACTCCAAAATACTTTTTTTCCCCTCATTTTATATACCGTATTTTCACGACTATAAGGCGCACTTAAACGTCTTTTTTTCCCCTCAAAATGTGCGGTGCGCCCTATGGTGCGGTGCGCCCTATGTGTGTTGTAACTGCGACTTTTGAGACCACCTCATTGAGGAGATGATGAAAGAGTGGCTGAATGTAAGGAGACCAGGNGTATTTAAAGGTAGTAGAGGACATGTACCTGTATATAAAAAACGCGCCCTATAGTCCGGTGCGCCTTATGTGTGTGTTAAATACAGAAATGGGACACATAACTGAGAGTGCGCCTTTTAGTACGGTGCGCCTTATGGTCGTGAAAATACGGTACCTAAGAGAGAGCAATTTCTCTCTCTTTTACACACTGTAATACCACCTTAATAGAGTATAACCTATTACTGACTTCCAACATTAGGAAGGCTGAAAATCAATACTGGAGTGCTGCTCTTCTGTGTGCAATCAAAATCCACTAGAAACACAATTAAAGCTTTACAAACACATGAACGCAGAAATGAATAATTCTGAGAGTGCATCTACATTTAGCTGCTCGATTACAAACATTTTAACTGCTCAGTGTTATAGCTTTTATTTAGATAATTTAGACTGACCAAAATCTGAACCAGAGGGTCCGACCTAAGAAATAAATACCAGCCAGTAAAAAGCCTGACTAGTTCCTATATTCTTCATCTATGTCATCCTATAGAAAGACACAAAGGATCAGCAGAAACCTCAAAGGTGTGAGAATCAAATGTTCAATTACAATTAGATCTGTTTAAAAGATTTCAACTCTTTTTGTCCAGTTGTGGCAAGCTTATGGGCTGGTTATACTCGGGCAGCAGTGTGTCGCAGTGAGCTTGTCGCAGTTATGACGCAGATATTTTTGATTTATGCCCAATTTTGAATTGTGGTCTGCGCTATGTTATTTCATGCCACAAACAAAACAAGCCGGTAAGATACCAAACGGGAAATATGCAGCGAACGTAGATTTGACCAATCAGATGCGTCCTGTCTGCAGCCACCTACAATTTTGGATTGGTGCACCAGCGTATCTGCGTTAACTGCAAGATACATGAAGAGAACCTGGCCTCTGAGTAGAAATCAGCCTTAAACCAGACTTTAACCCTCTCCAGCTCAGGGATTCACTTGTGAGTATAAAAAGAAAACTCATAAAATGTGTCTTAAGTGCATAATAATCTGTTTCCTTGCACCTTTCCTTGGTTACCGGTAATATAAACAGTTATTTAGCAATTAAACAAAAAAGGCAAAGAAAAAAAAAAGGAAATCATTACAGTCTTTCATTTTCATGACTGCATGAAGAAATGTTCCTTTTAGATCGGTAGCTGATTTTCCTTGTGCAGGATTAACACGCTTTAAATTCCTCAAATAAAAGCATTAAGAAAAAAGACTTGCATAGTTTGAATGTTTTCATAATCTCTCATTTCTATTTAAATCTGGTTGCCTATCCAGCCAAAAGCTCAAAATATTTATGTTCACATGATGGCAACCAGGCAGTTATTTCCTGAATAATTAAACACACAGACTGTCACGCAATTTTTTTTCCCACAACCTCAACGTGTCTCAGAGTTGTTGCACCTGTGATGGTACATTTCAGCTTTTCATGATGGGACTGAATACTTTATGAAAAGGTGAAGCAATCATCTACAAAAAACACCTTTAGAATACTACTAAAGATTAAATCAGTCTACTGCTCTATATCTTTATTCAGTCAGTTAAGAAGTTGGGCCATTAAAAGCAAAACACTAAAGCTAACAGGTCAGACTGATAACACTCTTTAGTGTTAAAGCACGACGTAAATGTGCATTAACATTGGTTTCTCATTTTTTACATTTTCAAAATTTCTAAATGAGCCCAACTATGCCCCAAACATAAACTATAATTGACAGGAAAACTAGAAGGAAATGTTTGGAATAGTTTATTCTTACATTAACAGTCCTAAACGAGAAATATGTTTATTTCTCATTTTTTCCACTTAGATCAGATTTTATACCAATAGTTCACAGGGACAAAAGCTTTTTTTTTTTTTGTAAATCTTCCCAATAAATCTGTTGAGTTGTAAATAAAATAAAATAAAAAATGATAAGGTACCGAAGTATAAAATGTACATTTAGAGATTAGTGGGGAGGATTGGCATTTTAAAGAGAAGCAGAGAAATCGGTTTCTACAACCGACCTTTTTGGGGCTTTGATGCACCTTAGCTCAACAGCAATAAACAAATCAGACAGATCAATTTTAATACTATGACTCAGCTAATCTGATATTATAAGAGTTTTCACCACAAAACAGTTAAAACTGCAGCCTTAAAACGTATTCAACCTCTGCATGAGAAGCATGTCAAGGGTTGGTAGAACATCTTTTCGCTGTGACGATCTGCTACCAAAGTGAATCACAGCTAGACAGAACATACAGACTTTGTCTCTGAAAAAATCTCAGCTCAGTTTCCATTGGCAAAGACTTTCATTTAAAACTGTTATGTTTTTGTCCCACTTCTGCCTTTTCCCTGAAGTTCAAGTCAGGCAAGTAAAAAGGCTGTATATTTGTTATGAAATTGATACTAAAAGACAACCATTTGCATATTTTTGCAAATTTTCTGGATTATTTATTCTGCACATCTATTTAACAAGTATCTAGGATTCTGTTCAGAAAGCATATTCATTGCTCAAGTTCTAATTTATTTATTTATTTTTTGCTTTTAATTGTCATTTTTTATCCGAATGGTTTGCTGACCCTCATTTTCCTGGAAATCGTTACAGAGTTTGAAAATTTAGTATAGCAAAAACCAAACTAGTATCTTCCAGGACATTCATGGCCTTTTATTGCCCTGCCTAAAACTCTATGGTAACCAAATCTTAATGAACTTTGAGGTATGCACAGACTAATAGCTCTGCTTGAACGTCCAACAAAGCCCAAAACTAATCTTCCTTATAGACATGATGTAATACCCGAGTAAATCCACTTTATTCTCTTCATGGAGCATATTTCCAGGGCCAGAAAAGCATCACTCAACCATTACAACATTAGAGACATAGATTTCTTTCTAGTGTGTGCTTTCTTCCTTCTGATTCATTGCCCTAATAATTTCTGTTTTTTGATTCATTGCTTCAAAGAAAACCTCTTGGGCTTATTTATTTAATTATCTATGAGCAAAACAGGAGCTGATTTTTTTTTTTTTTAACCCGGTTGGGATTAAGAGAAAAAGCACTCATGTTTTTAATACATGTCTTACTGGGGAAAGAGATTCATGGAGCTAAATTGAGGTCATAAAGTTTATTAAAAAGAAAAAAAATTATAAAAAAAAAGTTCAAAAACTGTATAAAAAAAAATAGTATTTGATAGAAAAAAAATATATAAATGAAAAAAACACAAAAAACAGTGGGTAGCACTGCTGCTTTGCAACAAGAAGGTTGCGGGTTCAATTACTGGCTCCAAAAACATGACTGTTAGGTTAATTGGCGTCTCTAAATTCTCCTTAGGTGTGAATGGTTGTCTGTCTCTGTGTTGCCCTGTGATGGACTGGCGACCTGTCCAGGGTGTACCCCACCTCTCGCCCGTAGACAGCTGGAGATAGGCACTAGCAACCCTCTCTTGGGACAAAGCGTGTCAGAAAATTGATTGATGGATATATAAATAACATGGCAAAATCCTTCGTCATCTTTACAGTCGACAGGTTGCAACCATGTCCTGAATTCCACGTTTTCCAGCCACTTTTGTTGAAATTTGCATTTTCCCATTCTCTAGCTTTTTCTCTGCCTCGAGCTTCTTTTCCAAACATACAGCTTCAAGCATGCAATAAAAAGTTGCTATAAAAAAATCAAGTTACTGAGAGTTAAAATCTTAAGCACAACTGATACAATTCATACATTAAGTGTCATGAATAATTAAAGAATGCAATAGTGCAGGAGTCTTCACATTTTTCCAGGCCAAGGACCCTCAAACTGATGGCGAGATGGAGCGGGGACCCCCTAATTATTTATATTGTATGAAATTTGGCTATATCAAACTGGGCTTATAGTCACTCTTATGGGACAGGTGTTGTGAATGAAACGGTGCCCAGCTTGAAAGAGCTCCTGTGTGTTGCTGAATGTGTGCATTGATGACTGAAAGACATCTTCTGACTCCATTTATCTGTTTTCTACAGTGTGCTGAATTCATTCAATAAGTGGAAAACTTTGCAGGGGGGGAATATAAAAAAAAAAGTCATCAACCAAAACTTTTGCGACCCCCATGCAGTACCTCTGTGGATCCCCTAGGGGTTAGGGGTGTAAACACCCATAATGGCGATTCGATTCACAATCCATTTCCTGACCCACCGATTCGGTTATTTTCGATACTCAAGAATAAACCATGATACGATTCAATTCGATTATTATGTTAATTTATTATTTTTTTTACCTTACAGGCTAGACAATGTTTTAAATTTTAACTAAATCAATGAAAGCTGTACTATGGTTACGCATTTTATTTGAGAAACAACAAATACCAGTTGTACTCCACCTGGGCCTATGAAAACCTCATTCACAAAAAAATAATAATGCCTCTGTGTTTACGCGAGTGTGTGTGTGCAAGTGGAAAGAGGGTAGTGGCTAAAGGAAGCGAAGTAGGAGGGCAAAATAGGTTTAGCGCCCCCGCAGCACGGGAGTTAAAATTACATCCAGGTGCAAATGGATAAAAATAGATCGAAGGAAGAATAAAAAAAACATGAATGATACTCTTGTGGGCGACGTGTTGATGCATCGGATCGTCGGCTGTTGGATCGATGCATCGACAGAAAACGATTATTATTTACGCCCATACTAGGGATCCCGGACCCCCTGTTGAAGATGTCCGCAATAGTGTATTAATATAGGAACTAAATGCCTGTAATGATCTTTATTTACCCATTTAAATCAGGTATTAAAACCTTTATTATGAAGAGACATTGGGTACTCTGTTTAATACCATAATAAAGTCTCAACAGAACGAAGTGTGTGACTGATACACACTTTCATCATCAGTTAATTATATAAAAATACGTATTTTATTTCAATCTCCAATCTGAAAAAGTAGGATTTGATTTTAGAACCTAACTGAAACGGGGTGCATCAGGGACATAGCGCTTTAAAACATGTATTTTATTCAAAAGTATTACAAAAAATAAAAATAACGCAAATATAAGCAGTGTAGTTAGAGTTTGCAGAGGTGTTGCTACCTTCTTTAGCCTGCTGTTATGTTAGCAGCTAACTGCCTTAGCTAGGTAGGAATCAAATGCTAACAGAGTTCTACGCGCAGAAATGTAGAGTATTTCCACGGTACATGCAGCGTTTGGTCTGGATAACGACCGTTTCTACCGGTGACTTACACAGTGACGTGGCCGGAGCCTCGCACCACCACCGGGTCCGGAGCGTACTTGAGGAGCTGTTCCTCCGCGGCCCTGTCCTCGTCTTCTTCTTCCTCCTCCTCTTCGTAGATTTCATCAAAGTCCTCCATCATCGCTCCCCGGCAGCGACACCGGGAGAAACGCGGTGCCAACAGACAGAGAAGCTTTTTTTAAAAGCAAAGAAACGAGACAAAACTGACAGGGTGGGCATAAAAATACGAAGCAGTTCACATATCGCTGAGCGAGCTCCGACACAAAACATCAACATCCGCCGCTGGAGCTGCACGACACCGGAAGAGACATGGAGACGCACTTTCGTTCTTTTTTCTTTTTTTTTTTTTTTTTAACGTTGCGAATTTGCAATTCAAATTCACGTAAGAGGATTAGTATATGGAGGACCAACTCTGCCATATTTAAAAAATAAGTACAGAAATAAATAAATGCTCAATAAATAAATAAGCATACAATTAATTGACCCCAAAATGCAATAAACAAATAAATGTAGTTAGAAATTAAATTATACAATGAGATATAAATGTATAAATCTCTTTTAATTAGTTTCTTTATTTATTCGCCTTTGTAATAATTACCTAATTTATTTATGTGCATGTGATAATATTTTTGTCTGTTTTATTCTTCCTTTGTATGTATGTCCTCAATGCAATGTATTTCTGCCTGTCGTTTTTACATTTCTGTATGCATATCCGCACCGCCATCAGACAGCTGAATGTTGAAAAAGCTCTAAATCATGTCACATGACAATAAAAAGAGTCTAACTCTAAAATAAAAAGTTTTAAACTGTTGGAATATTGTTCTAAAAAATGCTGATTTCTGCTTTGTTTGTTGGGCATTTGGCAAAAGTCTCAGTGAATTATGATTAGTGAATGATGCAGTCAGTAATTCGTAATAATTGGTAATTAGTTAGTATTTTCACTGCTGAGTTCAGCATCCCCCCTCTTAAATGACCATCCCCCCATACCAACCCCTGTAACATTTTATTACTGAATCTGTAAAACTTCTACTATATATCAACAGTAATGACAATAATATTGCCCTTTCAACAATCTGCAACAGTTTCTTCCCCACTGCCATCAGACTGCTGAACAAAAAGAAAAACTCTAAATCATGTTACAGACACAGATAACACCAAACCAAAAATACTGCATATTTGCACCGTATATATTAATGCTCTGAACTTCCATATCTGTGTCCATAGCTGAATTTCTCCAAATGTTCAGTGGTGTCAAAAGTACACACGTGACGTGTTACTTAATAGGAGTATAGATACTGCAGTTTAAAATCACTCTGGTAAAAGTTGAAGTATCAACTTGACCTCTTCACTCAAGTAAAAGTGAAAAAGTATGTGCTCCATAAACTACTTAAAGTATAAAAGTATAAAGTAACCTTAAAAAAAACAGTGTTTTTAAACTGCAGTATCTATACTTCTACCGTACTTAAGTAATAAATGTGTGTACTTTTGACACCACTGATCCTTACCACCTTCTACAGAAGCACCATAGAGAGTGTTCTGAGCAGCTGTCTCAATGTGTGGTGTGGAGGCTGCAGCGTCTCAGACTGGAAGAAGGTGAGAAGAGTAGTGAGAACAGCAGATAAGATCATCAGGGCTCTGCTTCCCTCCATAAAAGTCATTTCATCTCAGCGCTGCGTGTCCTGAGCCCGTAATATCATCAAAGACCCCTCACACCCCCACCATGGACTGTTCTCCCTGATGCCCTCTCCAAAGAGACTTTGAAGCATCCAATGCAGGTCCAGCAGGTTCCATAACAGTTTCTTCCCCACTGCCATTAGACTACTGAATGATGTGTAAAATTGGTTATTTTACACACACACACACACATATATATATATATTTGTATTTTTTTTTTTATGTTAGAACTGTAAATATACAGTCATACGTTTATATTACTATTTCTAATGTATTTATTACTGTTTTCAAGGCTGCACTTTAAAAAATGAAATTGTCTAGAGTTGTTTTAAACGAAATTTCTTTTTTTTACACTTGTGTATACAAAATAAATCTGTCTAATCTAATCTAAAGTATAGATAACTAAAATGTGTACTTAAGTACAGTAACAAAGTATTTGTACTTCGATACTTGAAACCTCTGCCAATGTTTACATTTGATCACTGCAGAACTTTAAGAAATGGAAATGTCAGAAGAGCAAAACAATATTCCGTTTTGTTAACACTCTATGTATAGAAAATGACAATAAAAGTTATCTAAGTCTATGTTACTAACAAAGTCTACATTTGTAGTAGCTCTCTTGTTTGCATTTTGTTTAGTATTGCGTTTTTACATAACATTTATAAGAGAGGAATTTAGTCATTACTGTAACACTGTGAAGGATGTGCCACCTGGCTGTTTTGAAATGATTGCTGAATTTCCCGCAAAAAAGCGTTGGCGGCGGGGGGGGGCGGTCCCGTTATGTCCCCAGATCTTTGTCCAATAAGCCCGCTGCTCCTCTTTTATTGGTTGTCATTAGAACATTGCTCTCTGCTTTGGCCCCAATTGATGAGAGCGTTATTCAGCTCACACCAAATTATACTTCCTTACACATTTATTTAATTTAAACAGGAATTAAGTTGATATCTTTTTTGTTTTCTGTATTTCAAATCAGAAGAACTGGGCGGAGCTTTTGGCGCGAGGACGCTTGTTTTTCTTTTTGTTGTGTTTTTTTTTTTTTTAAGTGAACCATGCTAGCGTTGCTAGCTAATTAGCCTTCGTGTCGTTGCCTGCTCTGTCGCCCGGGACATTAATGCCATCAGCCAGGGTGGGTTACGTTTTATTTCGTGTTATATTTTACAAAGGTCCACCTGTCTTTTTTGTTTGTTTACCTAGTTGTAATTTGGCTTTAGGATTCCAAGCTTTGCTATCTCGGTTAGCCATGATGTTAGCTTTGCTAGGTTCGAAGCTAACGTATTGGTGATGGCTGGGATGCTGTTTTTGCTAAGCTAGCTAGCAGTAAATCTCACTACACGTTCTGAAGTGATTCATGTCCGAACATGAGCTTTTGTTTTCTTCCCAGAACTCAGGTCACATCATGAGCGGGACGAGCTGCAAAGCTAACAGCGCCGTGTACCCCGCTTCATCCGCGATGATGAACTCGGTGAAGAAGCCGAAGATGGAGCAGATCCAGGCCGACCATGAGCTCTTCTTACAGGCCTTTGAAAGTGAGATTCCGCCGCTCACTGTCAACCGATTAGATTGTATGGTTTTCCTTCATTCAAACCCGATTTTACTGTCAATGTTTTTATTTTTCCTTCTGTTTTTCTGTCAGGGATCCGGTCCAACAGCTCCTGTAGTGCTGTTGATGTTTTTAGCCCAAAATGTAATTCTAAACTTTGTTGGAAACGCGTTTATTTTTATTGTTGGGCCAAATCGGATGTTTTTTCCCCGCTTCGTTCAAAAACTGGAATTAAATAAACCATATCTTAAAGACATGTAGGAAAATGTGCAGTTAAGCTATTTGTAAACAACTGATGGGGTAGAAACTTTAACTATAGTTGTCCATCCAGATGCCAAATTAAAAAGCTGTGATCGTATAATTGTTCCAGTGTTGTCGAGCACAGTACCTTAAAAATTGTCTGATTAATAGTTTAATTTACTCAATATTTCAAAAGGAAAATTCATTAAAAGAATGGAGGAAGCAATAAGAACATATTTAGTCACATATGGTGGTCTGTAGGGTTGGGAATTGACAAGATTCAGATTCCCTTGTTGATTCTGTGAAATGATTCGGTTCTCTTATCGATTCTGTGAAACAATGAACTTGGTAAGTGCACAGTGACATTCGTCTACCTTCGCCTTGGACATTCTGTTTCTGCCTGCCTCGGTGAAAACAGAAGTCAGTGAACAGGAGCTGCCAGCCTCTGAGCAGCCAAGCTACCCGTCTCGTCACAGTCATCTAAATCTAATGGAGAATGTATCTGTTTAATGAAATAGCATTACTGTACAATTTCGGGAAATAAACTCATCTCCCCCTGATTTAAATTAACAACTGTTACCTTTCTCTCGCTCCCTGAACTGTGGAGCAACTTGAGAGGTAGGAAATTGGTTTATTTCCAGAAATGGCATATGATTTACTAGGAACCACATTAAGCACAGCCAGTGATACAAAACTAGCAACTTACCAGAGTTGCCTTCCATGCTGGTCGTAACTTTATTTTCTGTTCAGAAGCATCAAAAACACGGAATTTAAAACGTTTTAAAGTTAAAATGTATGCCATGTTGTGTGCGCAGGTGTTTCTGCATGTTGGATATATTTCCTCCCGCGGATGTAATTGACACTTTGGAATGATTGCAAAGCGCCTTGTTGCCATCTTTCGCTACCTTAAAATGAAGCCAAACTTTCGATCGCTTTACCTGATTGGATTTTTATTTTTTTTTTGCTTTTCAAGACTTAAGCCTGGTCACGTCGTACTTGCTTACTGAATACTGTATGCGTAACTTGCGTGAAAAACGTGATACAGGTCATGCTGCCCAGAGCTAGGATCTGGTGCTTCCTGGAACCACTAAGAGAATCATTAAGCGAGCTGCCAAACTCGGCAAAGTTCTGAACTGGAACCGGTTTTCGATTCCCATCCCTAGTCGTCTGAAAAAGCTATTCAGTCATAGTTGTGTGTAATAAGTGAGGATGTATTTTTCCAATTGGAGCTGAACAAAATCTTGCAGTAGTGATAATAGATGCAGAAATTGCAATAGTGATAATCGGGTATGATCTGTGCGCGATTTCTACATTTCTCCAATTTTTGTTGTGTTCTATACTGTTTACCTCAGCATTTTGTATCCAGTGTCTTAAAAAAAATAGATTAAAACTATGAGATTCCTGAATGACGGAGCCATGACAAATTGAGAATATGAAAGGATGGACATGTTTTGATTTTAATTTCAGTAGAATTTCATGGTTACAGTATGCTGCTAAATGGAAACAGATTGATCAGGAACATGTTCCTCTTAGAGGCTAAAGGTTGAAAACTAACCTTTGCTGTTTTTTTATGGAATATGTGCCCCAGGAAAGAGATTCTCAACAGTTTGATGGGTTTTTAGGTGTAGAATGTTTTCCTACTCTCCAACAGACAACTTGTTGTCTCTACAATAATGTTCAAATCTGCATAATTTGTCACAGAACATCTCTAACATGACGGAGGCTGCATGGAACAAGAGTGAACTTAGTTTTTTACTGCATCTCTAGTCAGTGGGCTGAATTATTGTCTTTGCAGACCAGTCTAGTGCAAAGACAGTTCAGATTGTTAGGATAGATGTTGAAGTTGAGATCTTCTCTGATACATTTAACATGACATAATATTTTAAACGTTCGATCTTTAAAGTAAACAAAATCTATTATGGGAAGGAGGATACATTTCTATTTTTATCTTCTTACTCGCCCTCCATGTGTCTTTTATAAAAGAGAACACTTCCAGAGTCATCACCTCTGAGTTAAATTTGTGGCCACTCTTACTGTCAGCGTTATGGATGCCTGAGCTCAAAGAAAATCTAGATTTGTTGAGCCTTCTTTGTGTTATAGAGCACATGTGACCGATGTAAACACAACATCACCTACTGGGTTTAGAGATAAATATCTCAAATACATACAGTCAGATCTACAGCACATGATGTGCTATGATGTCCTGAATCAGCCCCAAGCTGATTTCAGGTACGTTGCATTTCAATGTTTCTACTTTTACTTCTAGGTACCCCAGCTAACTCCTAACAAACATTATTAATTCAATTCAGTTTATTTATATAACGCAAATTCACAACACATTTCATCTCAAGGCACTTTATAAGTCAACCAGATAATATAGTCAAATTGATTAAAAGTTTTCTAAGGAAAAACAGTTGGTTGCATTAACTCAAAGGCATTTCCTCACACCAAACATGCTTATAGCGACAGTGGAGAGGAAAAACTCCCTTTTAACAGGAAAAAACCTCCAGCAGAACCAGACTCGGTGTGAGCGGCCATCTGCAGAGGCCGACTGGGGTTCAAGGAGACAGAAGCAGACATAGAAACAGGGATACAACGGCAACTGTCAACCAGCTCCACATGCGGCCCCGTCCATGAAAACATTCAGCCAGGCAGGCGAGCTCTGTACCAGCTCCTAAGTTAGAGGATGAGGAGAGCACATTCAGCCAGTCAGTCAGTCAAATAAACAGGACTACACTAAAAAAATAGACAGAGCTCAAAAACATATTTACAAAGGTGTTGATGGGTTACGTTTCTAAAGATGTGATACCTGCTATAGTGGGTATGCATAGTGTTGAGGATGAAACCGATACAGCTGGGGGCATCAGAACATAACAAGACTTTGCAGATTATATGTTTATTATTTATATTGTTTAAGTCCACTGTCACCAAAATCCTCTAAATACCCCTTATAAAGTCAGTTCAAATGTAAAGCTGCCCACACAAAAGAGAAACAACTAGTTTGGTGCAGTTTTTTTTTTTTTTTGGGGGGGGGGGGCTTTTTTGTGTTATAATCAAAGTATTGCAGGTAATTCCACGTAGAAAACCATTAAGACTCCAAGCTTCTCTATGTTAGTAACATTTTTTTAATGTGTGTTATTAGTTACACAAGGTGACAGATTTAGCAGAGCAGCCAGATTAAAACATATTCCAATCATCGTTTGTCTTATCCTTTCTAGAACCTACTCAGATATACAGATTCCTGCGTACAAGGAACATCATTGCAGTAAGTAAACAGAAGTCCTTTTTATTTCACACCTTTACCCTTACTGACCTGGTTATTTAAACTTACTCGGTCTTCTTCTTTTCCTCTTTTTTTTTTTAGCCCATATTTTTGCACAGGACCCTCACCTTCATGTCTCACCGAAATAATCGCACAAATGCCAGAAGGTATGCAACCTGCATCATCTTCACATTTAGTCAGCAGACGTTGTTTGGAAATGTTTGAAAGTAAATAATTTCAACTGTTGACTTGCAGGAAAACATTCAAAGTGGATGATATGTTAAAGACGGTAGAGAAAATGAAGACAGAGCAGGATTCTCCAAGGTAAAAAAAAGAGACATACGATTCACTTTAAATAATTTTAATAGACGTTTAAAAAAAAAAAAAATGTCAGTCTTTGATACATTTTAATGTTTTTTTTTATTTTTATTTTTTTTTTTTATAGCTTGTCTTCACATCTACAGTTAACGTTCACCGGGTTCTTCCATAAGGATGGTAAGCAGTTGTTTGGTAGTCTTTTTATTTTCTTGGTTTGAAAATATACAGTAGGTTTTGGGTGAGGATTTGTTGGAGATGTGAAAACACAGCAAAAAGTTTTAGTTTCTGATAGTGTTGCACCGATTCCGATACCAGTATCAGATGAGGCCCCGATCCAGCACTAAAATGTTGGTATCAGTATTGGCAAGTACCGACTAATAGGGCACCAATATCATTTTGAGAGCCAAAAGTTTATTCAACTATTGTCACCCAGTCCAGGTGTGCAATAAAAATTTGTACTGGATTCACTTTGTATTAGTCCTTTTCCTGCTTCACAAAGGTAGGCAGCAGCTTGACAGAGCCATGATGGCCATTATTTTACATCCAAGTAGTATGCAGTTCTTCATATATATATATACACATCAATTTCAAACAGATGGTATCGTTATCAGCCGATACTGCACAGCCGGGTATCGAGGCTAAAAAATGGCATCAGTGCAACACTAGCTTCTGATTAAAGGAAGTTGGAGGAAAAGAACACCACATGGCTGCAGCGATCTTTAATCTTTTGTATACATAAGTGTAAACAAAAATACATTTAGTTAAGAAATTAATTTAAAATATATTTTTTTTATAATTGAATAGGTTGAATATTTAATGTAATAAATTAAAGAAGCTAGGACTGTATGAACAAACAGGTAGTTTTGTTCACCCTTCCTCAGCAAATTGTTTATGAGCTGACTCAGGTGTTACCACTGGCATCTCTGTCTTGAAGTTTTCAGATATTTCAATAGATGCGAACTGATTAAGATCGGTCATTATAAAGTAATTGTTTAAGCATGACTTTGTACACTTCTTTGGTGAACCTTTTCCTACTTTTGCACCTCCTGTTCTTTATCAGAGGTTATGTCACAAATTAATTTCCCCGTTGTAAGACCAAGAAATTCCTACCTTATCTTATCCTAAAGGTTCATATAGGATTGGTACAATATTTTCTCTTGGCTGTCTTACCTTAAGAGATCCCGGGACTTTTGACATTCAGAAGTTGAGCTTTCTGAGTCTTCTTCATTCATGCTGCTTATATTTAAATGAGGAATGGAGCAATCTGACAGCTACAAATCTTCACCTGAGTTTGGAAGGCATTGTCTGGCTCTTTGTCTGCTGTTAGTCTGCCATATCATCCTAGGGTTGCCTTTCTTATTATGTCCCACCTCTAGGACTTAACCCTCAGCCCCTCAAAGCTTCATCTTTTTAATAACATTGGTAGCTTAGGCTTCTGGAAAATGGGCTCATAGTTATTATGTGGGTATCTATCTAATCTAAGCTCCTCAGGAAGTGCTTACCTTTGCCTCTGGTCCATTTTTATTTTGCTGCACTCACTGATGCCAAACTACACCACAGCATATCTTAAAATGGCTTAAATTTGGTTTTAATGAAGAATAACCTTTCAACCCAATGACAAATGCTTTGCTTTTGTTTTATTATGTTATCATTT